CACCATGAATAAATACAAAAAAACAACAAAATTGCATTGCCACTTTTGGCATAATCCTATTACGATGGTTGGTCAACAAATACCGTCTGTCGAGTCCATGGATATCGAGTGCACAACACTTCAGACAGTTTCCCGCATACCATAGCCCTCAGCTCGCAGCCAACTAGAAAGTCAGCCAGTAATCCCATAAAATTAATTGGTTGCTTGGGCTCGGAGGGGAGCAATCGATAGATTCAATTACGGTAAATGGTTAAAAATGTAACGAGGCCCATTTTCGGTATTGGTTGGAACATTGTGGTTTTAAGGCTTTACTTATGCGAGCAGAGAAAATATGGATGCATTATCAACTTCTGAGAAATGGCCGGGAAAACACTGGGAATGTCATACGTGTTTACTTACGCATCAATTATGACCTTGTAGTCGAGTATGCCCGATATGAGCTTGGCTGCAAATCTATGAAAACGGAGAAATCATTCGAGAAATATTGCTTAGATTGTCTCATTTCTTACAATTTAATTGAAAACTAGATGAGTGTGCAAGCTTCAGCATCATTGATCTGTACTGGAAACAGTCAATAATACAGGGTGAAAAAAAAAAAAAGCGGAACCCACACCCCAAATATTACATTTCATATTAAAATAAAAATATATAGCACCAAAAATAATAATGACTGGAAAGCCAATATCGTAAGCTACTTTTAGTTGAACAAAATACTGAAATTGCTCAATCCGTTTAAAAAATATCACCATTTAAACGCAATGACCCTAAAACCTGTTTCGTCTAAAATAGCAATTTATTGTGTATTCTACTGTTTGGAACAACAAAGAAAATTACACAGAATACTTGTTCCAACAACTGTCACCAACTGTAGTGCACAATTATCTTTATTAACAACCCTGGTTAGCAAACTACATGATTTATAAAAATCCACTTTTTTGAAGACGGGCCTTCAAACGGACTTTGTTGAATATTTTAACTTTTAAACTGAGGTTTTGTCGCTGGTAATATATGAAGACAATTGTGACGACGATTCTTGAAATCGTATTTTGGACGAAAGAGGTTTAAGGGTTTTGTGTTTGAATGGTGATATTCTTTGAACGGATTGAGGAATTTCAGTAATTTTGTCATCTAAAAGTAGCTTATTAAATTGGCTTTCCAGTCATTATTATTTTTGGTGCTACATATTTTGTTAAATATAAAATAAATTTTTGGGGTTTGGGTTCCGCTTTTTTTACTCAACCTGTATTTATAAGGAGAACAAGTGTTTTCTCCGTATACAATTTTAAAAATGGGTAGTTCATTTAAATATACTACTTGGAGAGCCTAGACTCCAGTACTATAATGTAAAAAAAAACAAAAAACATAATCTTTCTGGAAAAATACTTTGTTAGACAACACTTTTCTTGTACTTAAAAAAGGGGATGGAAAGTACTTTCCAACTAAATTTAATGATGATAATATATCAGTTACGTTTCAAAAGAATCTTGATTTGACTTCCGATGTGTAAATTCATTAATTATGGTACAGCTGTATATGCAATTCAAAGACCACTCTATAACTGTGCTTTATTTCGGCTCGAGTGTTTACTTTCTAGAAACAATATTTGGAAATATGGTATACGAGTCACCGTGCAGAGAATCCTAAAAATCTGAAGTGTGGCCATACTTGCACCTGCCACAAACGCGGTATATGCCATCAACGCAGAGTTGCTAATGACGTCAAGAGGTACCTAATTACGCAAATGGCCGTCGGTCCATGGGAACGAGGCAACCCACCTTAGCCGCTGGCCCTCGTCTTTGAAGTGCTGCTTGGGAAACACCATCCCTGGGTTCGAGTTGAGTGGAAGTGACACATGATTGTGTAAGTACATGTCATCCAGCCACCATCTGTTTGACTGGAGCACAACAACACAGGCAAAATTAATAAATGATACTCGAGTTGCCGAAGATAAATTGCTTGTGCATATCGCCAGTCCTTCTTTTAATAAGACCTGGAGTTGATAAAACCTTACAGAGTGAGTGCCTAAAGTTATACCTTGGCAGGACTGTAAACAAAGTAGTCCTAAACCTGGAGGTTTAAGATCATACCGAATGAAGCTGCTTTGAAATACAAGGAAACCGCAAGATAAGAACTGTCAGAAACTTGTCTTAACAACTTGCATCTCCAAAATTAAAGGTATTTGCCGTTCAGAAATGAAGTTGCACACATTTATGAGGAACACGAACAACAACTAACACAATTTTGCCAAGAATAACATATTAACACCCTCATATGTGAGAATGAGGCATTTCTATTAAGTCTTTGGTACTGTTCGTTGGTAATTTTGTATTTTCAACAATCTAGCGATATATTTGGAAACACGAATAACGATTCTTTATTAGGCCTAATTAATGTTTGGCAAAAAACATGGGCCACGGTTTAATCGCTGGTTACAGTAGCTGCGTCCGTCATCAAGCACAACGTCGAGCCAGGACTTTTGACCATCGTTTGACTAGATTCGTTCGAACGTTGATATTAGTGCGCAGGCGTAAGTTACATTCCAAATCAAGCACTAGTCGACTACTGGTTCTCACCTGAACTTACAGTTACCTGGTGACCGGATCAATACTCCCTTCTGCGCATAACATGACCGAGCACGGAATGCATAAACTTTGTTAATAGCAAGTGACCTACCAACAATGCTTTGCGAATCTGCCTTTCCTTCCAACGCTGGGGGGTGGGGAGGGGGTGGGGGACGGCCATTCATATTTACCCAATTAGCCTGGAACTCTGCATACTCCAATAGTTTCATTTGCAGGTACTCCCCCGGCCTCCTGGTCTACCAAACTCCCGGACCAAACTTTCAGTAATGGCATACTGTTCCCTGGAAACCGTTGCCCTTAGTGACGCAGGTATGCCGCCAAGGTGTTGTGCAGTGGAGGCACCGGAAGACGAGGAAGCGGTTTCTGTGATAAAAAAAAATAAAACAAAAAATATAAATCACAAATAAAAAAATTATAATAAAACAACAGAAATAAAAAAATAACCACCACCAATTTGAGACACGCTTGTGTGTTCCACTTTTCAAGTCACTGTGTAATTCTTTACTTGTCAACTGTGATTGAAAATAAAAGAGGAAAACTAGAGCAGGCGACATAATTCGTGTTTGAACATTCTTCTTGTGGATTGCAACTTTGTTCAAATTCTTGGGAAAAAAAGGAGAGAAATTTGAATAAAAATCAATGCAACATTTTAAACTTCGCGCGAAAGACCACGATTGTTTGAAAGGTATATAGCATCATTTGCGTTTCATGCATTTTATTCTTGTCCTCCCTCCCCCCCCCAAAAAAAAAAAAAACCACTCAAAATCCAAAGAAGAATGTTACAAACCTAACCTGTTGAAGTTGCAACTTATTGAATATTTCACTTTTCGAGAAACAATGAAGATTTTGTCTTATTCCAATCATCAGTCAACTGACCAATCGTTGGGAAACCACATACATTTCATGATTTCTTCCAAATGACAGCAGTTCAGACGAAATAATCTAACAGGGTGTTTCGTACCAGCGCGTTCTTTATTTCAAATTAGTTTTTGTTTCCATAATAAATTAGAAAGTTACTCTTAAGATACATATTCCTTTAAAATGGACATGTTTCAATACATTCGACACAAACGCCACATTCATTAATGAATACAAAAACGATTTGCACCAAAACAAAAAGAAAGGTTGTTAAAAGAGTTAAAAAACATGGGTGGTAGGATATTGAACACAATTTTAGTTTACCTTAAATCATTTAATATCTTGTTTTTTCAGAAACGTATATATTAGTAATGCATAAACACATTAATTAAATGGTGAGTATCGTAAGGGACCCTGTTATTGTACATTCATAAATACCTAAGACAGTGCGTTTACCCATTCCTATTGGTCGAGAGCCCGTTACGTGGCCGGTCTTAAACATCGGTCATTATCAGTGTCCAGACTCCGAA